TTTTTTTTTTTTCCTTCCACGTTTCCTTTCATGGGTCCTTATTAACATATACTGTTAATTGTTTTAAATTCATAAGTTGTTGATTTTAATAATATCAAAATATTATTTTTTTATTTTTTAAAAATTATTTTTATATAACACATCAAAACAATCAAAAAATAATTTTAAATAAATAAAATTTAAATTTTACTCAACCCATGTTCGAAACATAATTTAAAATAATAGCACGAGATATTTGAAAATATGATTATAGTTGTTTCTTCACTTAAAAATATATTTAAATAATATTTTTTATTTTTTAAAAACTATTTTTAATATTAGCATATTAAAATAATATAAAAATAATAAAAAATATAAATTTAAAATAACTTTTTAAAAAATATTTTTAAAATACGAAAATAAACAATCAACACTCTTCATACTTGAACAACTCAATTCTTAATAAAAACATCTAAATATCTTTCAATGCGAAAAACACGAGATATTTGGCACATAATGTTATGATTTGATAAAGTCTTGAAATATATTTTTTCCAGAATTGTTTCCGACGAAATTCATGTGGATTGGAATCCTAAGTAATGACGTAAGAGACAATCATTCATGCTTTCAATGATTTTCAAAGAGAGATGTGATGGGTTTTTCAACTTTTATGCATGCAGACAAATTCTATCTGAGACCAGGTTATACGAGTATTATTCATATTGAGGTTGTTTATTATTACACTCATGAGAGGGGAAAAATATATATATATATAGTTGTAAAATCTTATATGGGATTTACTTTGTACTGTGCTTGGGATATAAAGCGAGAGGATCAGCGCATGCTTATTCTTCTTCTTTTTTTTTCTATTTAAAAAAATTAAAAGAACATTATATTGATAAAAAAATGTTATATTTAAAAAAAAAAACTAATGGATAAATATTATATTTTATGGGTCAAGTTTTTAACCATGTAAATATCTTGATCTATTTTTTTTCCCCTAACTTATTCAGGTTCCTAATTAATCGAGTTTTAGGTAGATTCTTTTAGCAGTATAGATTTTATAACTAGTTCTCAATTTTAGAAGGGTATTAAAAGTGTGTTAGATATTATAATAGTTGTTATAATTTTAATTTGAAAAAAATATTTTATAAAAAATATTTTTAGTTAGAGTTGATTTTGAAAAAATATATTTAATTAATATTGTGGTTGAAATTAAGATTGAATAAAAAAAATATATTTTGGTTTCGAATGTTTTTCAAATTAAGATTATAAAATAATTAAAAAATATATATATAATTACTATTGATGATTTTTAATTGAAATATTATATATTTAACTACTGCTGTTATATTATGAAATAATTAAATTATTTGAAATTTTATTATATATAAAATCTATCTGATAAAGACCATAACTTCCATGGCTTCTTGAACATGCAACACCATTAGGTAAAATATCATAACATCATGTAAAATATCATTAAGAATAAAATTGCAACCACTATCAAATTTTACAAATGACATATCATCATGTAATCTCATTATAATATAATTATGCAATGCTATTGAATAATGTTAAACACCAATATTTTAAATAAAACACAATATCATTAATTTTTTTTAAATTTTTTTTATTTTACTAGATTGAACAATAATAAACTAAGGGAGCTGCTCTTCACTATTCACCGTTCATTACTCTCTTTCTATTCTTTTTCTTTCATCTCTCTATTTGCTATATTTATAAACACAGTTTATACCTCAACACATCCTGCTGCTTGATCACAAATAGTCATGGGTCTCACAAATAACAATGCACATTTAAACCATAACTAAATACATAATAATGATATTTTTCTACAAATATGGACGCAGTGCTCAACATGTGCTATGTATCTAAATTCTATTTTTTGTATTTTAAAAGTATTTTTAAAAAATATATTTTTATATTTTAAATTAATATTTCATGATGTTTTTTAATTATTATTTTATATTTTAAATTAATATTTCATGATGCTTTCTAATTATTATAATATACCAATGTTAAAAATAATTTTTAAAAAATAAAAAATATATATTTTAATACATTAAAAACAACACAATAACTCCTGATCGTGTCTCATACGTGGAAAGTCGGGATTCTAAAACTTTATGCGGATTTTTAAAATCGGGAGTCTAAAATTCCTTGGTGGGATTTTTTAAGGAGTAA